GAGGGGGGCAGGGCATGGGCTGAGGGGGTAAGAGGGGGACGGCATGGGCTGAAGGGGTAAGAGGGGCACGGCATGGGCTGAAGGGGTAAGAGGGGCACGGCATGGGCTGAAGGGGTAAGAGGGGCACAGCCTGGCATGGCTGATCTATGGCATACAAAGTGGCGGTCTGGGAAGGCACGGGCGGGATACTGCGCTGTGATCAGGACGTGTTCAGTCTCTCCCTTGAAGCACATGCTGGAGATGTTGGCAGAGCTGCCGCTTGTCTTGCGCTCTTTCACATAGCTGATGGAGGGTACGTGCCCGTCTGCGGGGTGGGTGCCGTCTTTGCAGGAGGTACAGACAACAATCTCTCCTTAGCTGGGCACTCTCATGCACCTCGGCAAAGGTATAAATGGCGGGCAGGCTGTCCAGGGTCAGCAGAGCGTCGCGCACGGTGGTCTCCAGCACACACTGTAGGTCAGGTAAGATGAATCGTCCCGCTGCGGCCAATGTTGAGGCCAGAGGCGATTGGTCCAGCTCTTGGTCTGGTACTACGTCCCGCAATCTCTGCAACGCAGGGCACGATGAATCTTGGGAGCAGCCATGAAGATAATGTAGCAAGGGTAGGAAGGCGCAGAGAGGAACCTCTCGCACATGTACCTCGCGTTGTTGGGACTCCGCGTATCCGCCTTGTAACATCGCACGGAAAACCTCACAACTTGTAGAAACCAAATCTCGCCGACCTTCCAGCCGTTCGCCCCCGTCCAGTACAAACACAACATCCCCCCCTCTGCCCTGAGAGCAAAGTTCCAGGTAACGGCAGGCGGGGGCAATTAGAGGGCAGCTTTCGGGGAGTGGCGGTGAAGCGTGAGGTGCGAGTATAGAGGACAGACATTCGGAAGCATGGAAAACGTATTCGGGTTCCACCGAGACCATCAACGGCTCCAACACGAGACCAATGGCTCCGCCCAGCAGGTTCTGGCGCTGAGGAGAATCCTTCCTACAACAGACAGATATCAGACCAAGAAGAGACAACAACCCCCCCAAATGTAAGACCGGCCAATGAGAGCCACAGAAACAACCCGACAAGACCGCCCCCTCAGGTATAACACGTGAACACGCACACCAGAGGAACACGCCAGTCATACATGTCCAGCCAATCAAACAGAATACTCCAGAAAAACAAGAGACTCGGGCACGAGATGCCCCATCTATAGGCTACTCTAATACCCCATCTATAGGCTACGCTAATACCCCATCTATAGGCTACGCTAATACCCCATCTATAGGTTACTCTAATACCCCATCTATAGGTTACTCTAATACCCCATCTATAGGCTACGCTAATACCCCATCTATAGGCTACGCTAATACCCCATCTATAGGCTACGCTAATACCCCATCTATAGGCTACGCTAATACCCCATCTATAGGCTACGCTAATACCCCATCTATAGGCTACGCTAATACCCCATCTATAGGCTACGCTAATACCCCATCTATAGGCTACGCTAATACCCCATCTATAGGCTACGCTAATACCCCATCTATAGGCTACGCTAATACCCCATCTATAGGCTACGCTAATACCCCATCTATAGGCTACGCTAATACCCCATCTATAGGCCACGCTAATCCCCCATCTATAGGCTATTCTAATACCCCATCTATAGGTTACTCTAATACCCCATCTATAGGCTACTCTAATACCCCATCTATAGGCTACTCTAATACCCCATCTATAGGCTACGCTAATACCCCATCTATAGGCTACGCTAATACCCCATCTATAGGCTACGCTAATACCCCATCTATAGGCTACGCTAATACCCCATCTATAGGCTACGCTAATACCCCATCTATAGGCTACGCTAATACCCCATCTATAGGCTACGCTAATACCCCATCTATAGGCTACGCTAATACCCCATCTATAGGCTACGCTAATACCCCATCTATAGGCTACGCTAATACCCCATCTATAGGCTACGCTAATACCCCATCTATAGGCTACGCTAATACCCCATCTATAGGCTACGCTAATACCCCATCTATAGGCTACGCTAATACCCCATCTATAGGCTACGCTAATACCCCATCTATAGGCTACGCTAATACCCCATCTATAGGCTACGCTAATACCCCATCTATAGGCTACGCTAATACCCCATCTATAGGCTACGCTAATACCCCATCTATAGGCTACGCTAACACCCCATCTATAGGCTACGCTAACACCCCATCTATAGGCTACGCTAATACCCCCATCTATAGGCTATTCTAATACCCCATCTATAGGCTACGCTAATACCCCATCTATAGGCTACGCTAATACCCCATCTATAGGCTACGCTAATACCCCATCTATAGGCTACGCTAATACCCCATCTATAGGCTACGCTAACACCCCATCTATAGGCTACGCTAATACCCCATCTATAGGCTACGCTAATACCCCATCTATAGGCTACGCTAATACCCCATCTATAGGCTACGCTAATACCCCATCTATAGGCTACGCTAATACCCCATCTATAGGCTACGCTAACACCCCATCTATAGGCTACGCTAACACCCCATCTATAGGCTACGCTAACACCCCATCTATAGGCTACGCTAATACCCCATCTATAATGTAGCACAGACATAGTGGAACACAGACGTGTATGGGGACAAGTGATGGTATATAGGACATTATATGTCTAATCTCGTACTAATAGGAGTCCAGTGAGGGAATTCCCAAGCAGTCGGGTTACACTGCCAGCTACAGGAGGAATGGACACTAGCAAACCGCACGCCAGCCACTGTATATCCCCTCTACCCAGCATGCCTCAGTTCTCTGCCAATGTTCTAGGACCCCTTCTGTCCTTGTGTGGCCCTCAATGGACTCCAAGACATTGATGTTACAGTCACTATAAAACTTTCATGTTTATCCATTGAGGGCCACAGCAATTCTGAAAGTCAGGATGGCCAGCAGCAGTCCAACCGAGGACTGGTTACGCAGGGCAGAGGAGGGGGTTACTCTGGGCAGAGGAGGGGGTTACTCAGGGCAGAGGAGGGGGTTACGCAGGGCAGAGGAGGGGGTTACGCTGGGCAGAGGAGGGGTTACGCTGGGCAGAGGAGGGGTTACGCTGGGCAGAGGAGGGGTTACGCTGGGCAGAGGAGGGGTTACGCTGGGCAGAGGAGGGGTTACGCTGGGCAGAGGAGGGGTTACGCTGGGCAGAGGAGGGGTTACGCTGGGCAGAGGAGGGGTTACGCTGGGCAGAGGAGGGGTTACGCTGGGCAGAGGAGGGGTTACGCTGGGCAGAGGAGGGGTTACGCTGGGCAGAGGAGGGGTTACGCTGGGCAGAGGAGGGGTTACGCTGGGCAGAGGAGGGGTTACGCTGGGCAGAGGAGGGGTTACGCTGGGCAGAGGAGGGGTTACGCTGGGCAGAGGAGGGGTTACGCTGGGCAGAGGAGGGGTTACGCTGGGCAGAGGAGGGGTTACGCTGGGCAGAGGAGGGGTTACGCTGGGCAGAGGAGGGGTTACGCTGGGCAGAGGAGGGGTTACGCTGGGCAGAGGAGGGGTTACGCTGGGCAGAGGAGGGGTTACGCTGGGCAGAGGAGGGGTTACGCTGGGCAGAGGAGGGGTTACGCTGGGCAGAGGAGGGGTTACGCTGGGCAGAGGAGGGGTTACGCTGGGCAGAGGAGGGGTTACGCTGGGCAGAGGAGGGGTTACGCTGGGCAGAGGAGGGGTTACGCTGGGCAGAGGAGGGGTTACGCTGGGCAGAGGAGGGGTTACGCTGGGCAGAGGAGGGGTTACGCTGGGCAGAGGAGGGGTTACGCTGGGCAGAGGAGGGGTTACGCTGGGCAGAGGAGGGGTTACGCTGGGCAGAGGAGGGGTTACGCTGGGCAGAGGAGGGGTTACGCTGGGCAGAGGAGGGGTTACGCTGGGCAGAGGAGGGGTTACGCTGGGCAGAGGAGGGGTTACGCTGGGCAGAGGAGGGGTTACGCTGGGCAGAGGAGGGGTTACGCTGGGCAGAGGAGGGGTTACGCTGGGCAGAGGAGGGGTTACGCTGGGCAGAGGAGGGGTTACGCTGGGCAGAGGAGGGGTTACGCTGGGCAGAGGAGGGGTTACGCTGGGCAGAGGAGGGGTTACGCTGGGCAGAGGAGGGGTTACGCTGGGCAGAGGAGGGGTTACGCTGGGCAGAGGAGGGGTTACGCTGGGCAGAGGAGGGGTTACGCTGGGCAGAGGAGGGGTTACGCTGGGCAGAGGAGGGGTTACGCTGGGCAGAGGAGGGGTTACGCTGGGCAGAGGAGGGGTTACGCTGGGCAGAGGAGGGGTTACGCTGGGCAGAGGAGGGGTTACGCTGGGCAGAGGAGGGGTTACGCTGGGCAGAGGAGGGGTTACGCTGGGCAGAGGAGGGGTTACGCTGGGCAGAGGAGGGGTTACGCTGGGCAGAGGAGGGGTTACGCTGGGCAGAGGAGGGGTTACGCTGGGCAGAGGAGGGGTTACGCTGGGCAGAGGAGGGGTTACGCTGGGCAGAGGAGGGGTTACGCTGGGCAGAGGAGGGGTTACGCTGGGCAGAGGAGGGGTTACGCTGGGCAGAGGAGGGGTTACGCTGGGCAGAGGAGGGGTTACGCTGGGCAGAGGAGGGGTTACGCTGGGCAGAGGAGGGGTTACGCTGGGCAGAGGAGGGGTTACGCTGGGCAGAGGAGGGGTTACGCTGGGCAGAGGAGGGGTTACGCTGGGCAGAGGAGGGGTTACGCTGGGCAGAGGAGGGGGTTACGCTGGGCAGAGGAGGGGTTACGCTGGGCTGGCTTACAACCCTCCTGTACAAATCAGAAAACATCCATTATAATCTGACTCTGAATTCCTAGATCCCTCAAAGTACAAACTGAGGAATTGACATACACGGCCTTCATCCTCATCATCCACTATTAAAGTGACACTAAATTCTGGCGTTAAATCTTAAAAATCCCTTCAAGTCCCCGAACTCTGAGCAACAATGTATCTGATTTGTGTATCACTCGGATCCTCCAATTATCTCTGACAATGTCCTTCCCTCTGGAGGGTGACTACGTCTGTTCCCCATGGTCCCTGTGTGTTGTAAAGTAGTCACCGCTCCAAGCTCTGCCCCCCAGGATGGACTACAATCTCAATACAAATCAGTAAACTAAACCTGAGATTGTAGTCCACCCTGGGGGGCGGAGCTTGGAGCGGTGACTACAACACACAGGGACCATGGGGAACAGACGTAGCCCCCCTCCAGAAGGAAGGACGGAGATGATTGGAGGATCTCCAGCCGAGTGACACATAAGAGACATTGATGAGTTCGGGGACTCGGAGGGATTTTTAAGTTTCGTGTCACTGTAAGGACCCGTGTGAGATATCGGAGGAGATAAGAGGGACGGTTACACGAGAGTTATGAAACATGACACGCGGTCTCACCTGTAAATAAATGGCAGGCAGAGGGCGCACTGCTGCCGGTCACTCGGAATACCCGACACCAACATGTGAGTGATCAGTCCCACGCCAAAGGGGGATTCCGCCTGGATGCAAAGATTGCGCAGCAGAATGTGACCTGCAGGATGGAAAACACAGCTCACATGACCCGCAGGATGGAAAACACAGCTCACATGACCCGCAGGATGGAAAACACAGCTCACATGACCCGCAGGATGGAAAACACAGCTCACATGACCCGCAGGATGGAAAACACACACAGCTCACATGACCCGCAGGATGGAAAACACACAGCTCACATGACCCGCAGGATGGAAAACACACACAGCTCACATGACCCGCAGGATGGAAAACACACAAAGCTCACATGACCCGCAGGATGGAAAACACACA